CATCGTTTCTGATTTGTCGTCGTCATAATGCGTGGTTTTATCTAATATTATTTCCAAATTTAAGTTATCGATCAATGTACAGTCTGATTTGGTAACGTCCCACAGAGCACGGGGAACTCCCAGAGAGCTCCTGGGGAGCTCTTAAAATTTTTCATAAGCTTAACTTGAACTTCAAACGAACTCGCACAGAGCTCCTTGGGAGCTCCTATGTCCGCTTTTGAGAGCTCCTTAGGAGTTTTATTTAAGCTCCCTGCGAGCTTAAATAAAGCTCACAGGGAGCTCTCAAAAGCGGACATAGGAGCTTCCGGGGAGCTTCATTTAAGCTCGCAGGGAGTTGAGAAGTCATGTTTTAAAATGTACGACATACGACATACGACAGGTAAGTACGACATGCCACCTTGGACACTTGGGGAAGAATGTAGCAAAATGCTGAAAAAAAGGTACACCTAACATGACATATAGTACAGAGTGCTACCCCGATGAAATGCAAGACACCATATATATGAATAATCAATCACATTTTATGTAATATTAATGTTTTTCTCATTTGTATATTACATAATTCGATATGTAAAAAATACTGAATAATGTTACTAAATTTCAACATAATTTTTATTCCAGAAAAATCTTACAGGTACTTTAGCTCAGCGAAATGAACTCCCTGGAAGCTTGTTTTGTCGAATTTTGTAAGCTTTCCGGAACCTCAGCGAAATGAACTCCCCGGGAGCTTTATAATCGGAGCTTTGTGCTGTGTGGGCATAATCGTTACAATTTTCTTAAAATCAATATAAATGTGAAATACTACATGTTGCCCATAACAATTATATTATTGAGTAGTAAATTATGATATATTAATGTTAGCATTGTTAGCTTATATGGTGTTTTGCGATGTGCCTTGTACGAAGATAGATTTCAATATTTGTATTTTATTATTAATATAAATGATCGATAACCTATTTTATTTTACAGATATAAGTAACATTGCGGTATGAAATAGGGTATAAAATATTCAATTTATTTCTTTGACATTATAATGCAAATACAATACTTTGATTAATACATATCAAAAGTACCCCCATAAAAAGTATACCTATAAAAATATATTTCATAATATATATTTACTATATTACATAGATTTAAAAATATATGTGTTATATAAAAAGCATTTATATATTTTTGTACATATAGTTGTATATATAGAAAATATTTGTACATATACCATATTCTTGAGTACAGTATACATATACCTACTTTACTTATATTCATCATATATTTTAACCGGCAAAATATGATATAATTTCATATATGCAGGCATATATTTTATATATATTCTAATATATTTATTTTATATATTAGATTACGTATCAAAAATATATTTTGCATATTTCATAAAAATATATAGTATTTTCTTATATTTCTTTCATCTCAGAGGCGGCAAAAATGACTTACTTAATTATATGCATTTTTATATTTTATATATACATTTGTATACATTAACGTAAATGTATTATATATTATATAACATATTTCGGAACATAGACTTTTTCATGAGGGTATACAGATAGATGACATAAACGGCTAAATAATGTAAAAATATGTCAATTGTGCGATGATGTGTAACATACGACAATCAAAGTTTAAATGTGAATTTAATTATTTAAAGATAAAATCATCAAACTCAATACGGAATCAATATTTTAATACACCTTATTAAATACTTTGTGCTTTAGATTATATACTTTATATCTTATATCAAATGATGAACTTTTTTACATGTATATTCAATTATTATTTTCTTTGAAGAGTGCAAAACATATCTCTATTTCCATTAGGAATGTCTAATTTGGTTACTCATCGTATGTCACTTGTCAACTATATACAATAAACGTAATATCTAATTTAATACAGTCATTGAAACAAAATTTTCGAACACGTTTATAGAAACTGCAATGTGATATACGTAATGTACATGAGTTACATGAATCGCATAAAATAGGTTTGTAGAATTAGAAAAAGTTAAAATAGTTTATAATGTTCTAGTTTACAAATTGTGAATGCAATAATTATTTGATGAATGAGTTTTATACAACTTGACATGAATTCCTTTTTGCGGGAAAACTTATATTTGTGGAAATGGCAAGGTTGAGGAAGTCCAGTCAAATAATTAATATCTAGATCTCTAATGCACTGATAAGCTCAGCATTGGTTTCTGGAATATCAGTCCCATCTAAGCTGCGAAGGCAATCCTGAAAGTCATCTGTTGCTTTCAAAGTGCTTGCTGTTGGTTTGTATTGTAACACGGGATGGGCAAGAAATGTAAATTGTTACAGAATAATTAGAATTTAAAATCACTCGATTATTCAGCCAAAAATATTAATTTTAATGGATTAATATAATTAATCAAAGTCTTAATAGTAATACTTATATATGATACTTATGTAGCTGATTTATTTATCGCTTGGTACATGAAAATAACACTTATTGTCAAACTATTTCTATTTATAAGTATAGAAATTTCCCCCGCCTCCTTTCCCGACGCCTGTTCTCTGTATTTGCGATTTTCGAAGATATGCGAGCAAGGAATTCGAGGTGGTAACACCCTGCGTACCATACGGTGAAGATCGTCCCTTCGCCAGCCAATAATCGACGGTTTCTCTCGTCTAGTCCTAAGAAGAAATCCGTCAATGTTCCTACGTGAATAACGCACTGTTCCCGTGCAAAGGTTTAGCGTATACGGGTATAAATTTGCGACTTGATTAGTAACTCGAATTTTAAGGAATTCATTAATTTTTTTTTCATAACGTATTGACTTTATAGATTGTACTTTTATTGCATAGAATAACCAATATTTAATGCACAAGATTCATTTGCATGTACTGTGTAATAAATGTATAGGGAATAATTACTCGTTAAGAGCTCTTGTCACTTCTGTGTCATTGTGGGCATATCCGTACATAAAGAAGCTGCGGTTTCTTCAACGTTCTCTTTTCCTGTAGATGTTCTCATATCTGTGTCCATCGAATCCTCCGTCTCATCCGTAGCAATGCTCAAAGTTGGATAGGTTTTCCTATATTTTAAATGATTATGTTTGAATAATTAACAACAGATATTTTATGTGTTGCATAATTAAATAATGATTAAGGAAATAAGAAATGTGGTAAAGAAATTCCAATTATGCTCGCCACTCTTTTGAAGGCCGAAAGATTCGCATTCTATGATTCTTATTGGAAATTTAGAAGCATCTAGACCCATGAATATAAGTTAACATGATTGCAAAGAAACTTAGTAATGTTAATAATTGTATAAGATATCAAATATAAACTATCTTATACATAACGTAAGTTTAAAGATATATTTAAAACTTTTCAACGTTTATTTTCAAAGAACTCTTCTAACCAATATCAAGATTCATGTTATTCATTTATGTTTCTTTCTATGTTCTTCAACGTACGAAGTATTTACCTTTATAATTATTTGATTCAATTTTAATAAATATATATGAATATATGATACGGACTCGTGCGTATTTTTATATTTATCGGAATTTGTGGTAAGCAAGTTGTATACACATATTTCTATGACATTCACACAATAATCCAGAATTAGTAATTGCGATTGGAATTTCTATGCAATTTTGACCACAATACATGTATGCTTTTAATTTTTATATAAGTGTCTAAACGACTGCTAAGTAGATGTGCTGCATAATGTTTGACTACTGATAATTTCATTACTATATCAATTTTATATTCTCCAATATTGCAATGAATTTATTATTTATTCTTACTTGTGGACTTTTACGAGATGAGAAGCCAGCCACTCATGACTAGTGGATGTGCCATATTTTTTTTCACAAATCATGCATTCTGCTTGTCCTTTGTTCTGTGTGAAGTAATCCCAATACCAAGCTACTTTTGATTCATTCCTTTCTACTGCTGTTAATTTGTTGCAATGTTCATATCTTAAATGATTAAGTAGTTCCACATAAAGTCTACCGTCGATTCCAGCGATGCAAAATATTTGAAAGCAATTATTGCATTTTAGCAGATTTCCTTTTAAATATGAATAATGTTTTAGTATAAAGGGACGTAGTGGAACCAGTTTCACTTTAATTACATTATATTCTGTGTTATGTTCGGGATCATATTGTTTGTTATGGTTATCGCATAAGTGCTCTTTTAATTGTATTAATGTTTCTCTAGACGGTTGCAAACTGTTCGTGTTATTCTCGAACCCTGCAAGACAGTCTTGGCAGTTTAATTTCGAACTGTAACATTGCAGCAGCTTATTATGTGATATGTCTTTCAGGCGATGGTATGTTTCTGAATGTTTAAGAATTAAGTGCTCGTGTAATTTGGCCAATGTTTTCGTCGACGGTTGACAATTATTCGTATTGTTCCAGAAATATGTGTGGAAACACACTTTACACTGATATGTGCGAATATAATGTTGCATCAGCCACTGATATTCTTTGTGCTCTGCCATTATTACAGTCCTCTATTGCGGAGTATCACTTACTGAATATAGAAGATACAGACTGTTGTAGAGAGACACACAAGGAACTATTTCCAAATATTGCTGGTAAGCGGTCAAAAGGTGAGGTATGACTCTTTGTCTAAATATTGGTAGCATTGAAGTAATGTTGATGCCAATTTGAATGTTACCAAATGTTACCAAATCAGACTGTACATTGATCGGTAAGTTAAATTTGGAAATAATATTAGATAAAACCACGCATTATGACGACGACAAATCAGAAACGATGTTAGCTGCATATATAGAAATAGATAATCACTTTACGATTAATGTAATCTTAAAATTAATTCATCCGTTTTGGTAATGTCTGGGCACAGAGAAATGCATTGATTTAATTGTTGGACTATATCTAGATACTTAAGTTACCAATTCTCTGAAACGTAACGTGTTACAGTTACAGTTACTCAAAAAGTAACGAGTCGTTACTTTCCAATTACTTTCTTGCGATGAAAATAAAAATATCAAATTTGCATTTGATTTGTAAAGCGTCGATAAAGGTGTTTATGCACAAATGCAAGACCTAATGCGATCTGTGGAGGTTTAAAATATACGTAAAGTAACTATTAATGTAATTAATTAAATTACCCACACAGCAAAACAAGTTTCAGAAAGCTTTCCGAAAGATAACTTGGAAATTAATATTGAAATGTAATATATGTAGAAATCATTCAGAAATATTTCTGAAGCATTTAAGAGATATTTCCGAAGCATTTACGAGATATTTCTGAAGCATTTTAGAAATCTTTCCGACGCATTTCAAAAATATTTCCGACGCATTTCAGAAATATTTTCGAAGCATTTAAGAGATATTTCTGAAGCATTTCAGAAATATTTCAGGAACATTTATGATATCTCGTCTACGCGGTCATTTCATGTATCTGAAACATGTCTGAAATATTTTTTTGAAAGGTTTCATATTTCATTGACAGCTTTTTTTGAGAGCTTTCTGAAATATTAAATTTCGGTACTGTGTGGGTAGTTACTAGTTGTAAAAAAATGTAACTGTGTTAAGTTACAGTTACAGATCGAGAGAAAGTAAGTTAGTTAAGTTAGAAGTTAAGTTACAAAAAAAAATAACTCTAACTGTAACTTCGTTACAAGTAACGAGTTACTTCCCAACCCTAGGAATATTACATTGTAATATTACAAGCAATTGACCTTTTCAATTGCATTGCAAACGTCTTCATACGAAATGCAAACGATTGCAAATAGGAGTTATTTAAAAATGCATTTATTCCCGGTCAAGTATGAGCGAATGAAATGCTAGTATAAGCTGTAGTTATATCAGGCTTCTTTTGTTCCTACACTAGTAAACTAGTACAATAAATTAGAATAAAGCCCGCTGCAGGCGATGCTATTTTTCCTGCTGGATTTGCTTACAATCTAATAAATATTACTATCGTTGCACCATTCAGCACTCAGGATTTCTAGCTTAAGACAAGTATATTTTTTCTCATTCTAGCTTGCTGCACTAGTTCACCCGTGCAGGAACAGAAAACAAACCTATTATATGGAATTGGTGCAACTTGCAGAGTTCGTTATTAACAATAGCAGGTTCGTTTGACAGTGACTCAGCAGAGATCACAGATGTCACTGTTGACGAGGCATTGCTACGTTTCCTACATTTCGACTTGGTTGTGTGCATTTTTGTGATCAACGAGTATGGGCTGTGGAGTGATACGTCGAGGTGTGTAAATTGCGTGATGAACGCAATCTGAATATCACGCGAGATCGTAAGTAACGGATAGCGACGATAGAGAAACTCTCCCTCGTCGATTCTTGATGTACAAATTCTTGAAATTCCCGTTAGGTATAATTGGCAATTGGCGAGGATACGAGGGCGTACTGGTCCTTGGTTAGGAAAAGAGGCGGCGTTTTTCGAACATGGATATGATCTTCCTACGCGGATTGAGGTATAGCGCGGAACTGAGTAACGCTTCGACATCGGCCTCGTTGACCAAGTACCTTCCGCTGTCGGCGTGCTCCACGTGTCGTGTTAACGCAACACGCTGGAAGTCGGCATTCCCTGGTACAGCTCGCACGAACATGGTAGACATCGGTGGGTTCAACATGTATCGGATCATCAGGGTTTGTTTCATTTTGCAGAGAGATATCACCGTTACAAGGCCGCGTCATGTAACTCCTTAGGTCTCGTAAACAATGTACTCCTGCATCAGAAGTCGTTGCGGCAGGACATTAGTAAAAATGATATCGCCCTGGCGTACTATTCAGACCTTAAGCAAAGTCCCGGGGACGATTGCCAGAAGCCTCAGACGGGACAGAAACTGTCAGTATTTCAAAAGATGAAGCAAATGACGAAAGATTATTGGCACGTGCTGATACCTGTGCACGTAATTACTTCTATAGGATGGGTAGCTATATTCTATACTGCTGTTAGGAAGTACGTAAGCAATTAATTGATGTTGTTAGTGCCATTTGAGCTTGGCAATTGACTAACGCAACGCTTTTGCACTTTTAGCGGCGTGGATATAGTCCAGATGTTGGAGTACATGAATTTTAGTGAGAAATATGTAGACCTAGTCCGTAATTCGAGTGCTGGTAACTGGGCCATTACTTATGCGCTTTATAAAATATTCACTCCGCTCAGATACACTGTTACTGTTGGTTTGTAATTTTTTTACGTTTTACATACTATTCTATTACTCGTCGAATTGTCTATTCTCATTGAGCGAGATACCACGCGTCGCCCCGGGGTCGCGCTGCTAGTGTACTATTCCCGCTTGATTCAGTAAAATAAAGTAGGTAAGCGAGAAAGATCCCGAGCGTGGGCCTGGACAGCTCGGCTGGAAGAGCATTCGTCCGACAAGCGGGAAGGTCCCAGGTTCGAATCCTGGACTAGTCTTGTTAGCTCGTTATTTTTCTCGCCGAAAATTAATAATGGCGACCTACCACTCAGTGAGTAATAGATAATTCGGTAATGATCTATTAAAGATTAATACTAAATCGTAACAGGAGGAACGACAATGGCCATTAGGTATTTGGGAAAATTAGGCTACGTGAAACCGTTCAAGCTTCAGTCAGCAGAGGTGAGTAATGTACGTTGAATGCAATGTCATCTGTTGAAATTGAAGAAATAAACTGTTATAACATTATAATTGTATCTGTGTTTGTATTTGGAAACATCTGTGGCTTGTCTGTTTTCTTACACGCACACGTGGTGCAGCCTGCGGACAAAGCTATGAGTAGGTTACCGATCACGATTAATCTCAGATATATCGTGCTGATCTCTCTTGCTTTTGTTCTCGGCGAGATGCTCTTGTCGCGTGAATAATATATACGTATACCGTAAAATCCTAGTTCCTCGATCACGGCAACGCGGTGTATTCCTCGTAATCGTATTTAATCGTTGTTGTAGCCAGTACAGTCAGACAGATCTGCGGCAGGACACAAGACAAAATTCAAAACAGAGTGTGAAACGGACAACCGACACACGAAGCCCCCAAAACCATAAATATTTCCCCCGCACTATGTCGGACCTGCGAGCGGGGCTCGGCGTAGCTCGGGGACTTGTCTCACTGAATCTATATCGAATTGTACATTGAATATTATTCGATTATGATAAATCGTTTCTTGCATCATTCTTTGACTTATTTATCCCACTCATCGTTCCACATGCAGTCAACCCTAGTAGCACAGTGCACTGGCGAAACGTTGGCCCGATACAACCAAATGTTTGGTCAATGCACTAAGGAAAGTACTGAGATATGAACGGATTTTCCCCCATTACAAGGATAAAAGAGATATACTATTGCAGTTCGCCTTTATTAAAGGATAGTCATTTATACATACTGCATATATGATTTAAATAGGACTACACTATCTACAATATGCGCGCGAACTTAAAATTACTTATGTGTAACGTTGAAATAATTACGCTTATTAATCTTGAAGGATAACAGTAGTTATTTGGCAGCTCGAGTTGTGCGAAAGTTTCAGTGCTATTGTCATATATTTATTATTATAGCACGCCTACTTGCTTTTCCAGTCTCTATACTTTGTGCGAAAACGCTAAACGTGTCGTAGTTTTCGAAGTATACCGATAATTTTCAATATTACACGAGTTGTTGCAACGAGACGATACATCTTAATAAATATTGTTAATCTATGCTAGGTGTATAAAGTACAGTAAAACTTGATCGACAGAGAACATTCGCAGGAATATTTCCGGGATCGTATTTTCGCCACGCATTATAATAAACATACCTGATAAAAATATGTACATACGATAAAAAGTATGAAGTTTTTGCTTAAGAACGCATAATTATTATGCTACTATATCACAGTTGCCTGCGCAACTCGTTCAGCGTAAAAAACCACCGCATTCGCAGAGTACGGGCCTGAGCAGAAAGATTGTCGTGTTTACGATTCCGTAGTAAGGCGCAAGTCGACGTCGGCAGTTAACGCACAAAGAATTGTCGTAGACTTATGTCGCATTCGTCGCACCGCAAGGCGACATACGTCTTCGACAATTCTTTGTGCGTTGACTTCCGACTTGAGTCTTACGACAGAATCGTAAACGGTTACGACAATCTTTCTGCTCAGGCCTTACCTTTGCTAAATAAATAAGAATCGCATATATTAAATGTACACAGACAGGCAGGAATGCCTGGACATTTCTCTGATGTATTCTATAATCATGGAAATGTCCAGGCATTCCTGCCTGTCTGTTTACAACTTGTCGATTATCTTCGATTAAAAGAAGAACTTGTACTCAATCATGCTACGTGCACTGATACGTCAAATTGATTCCAGAAGCCAGAAGGCAACACAATGATTTCACTTTCCTAATACCAGTCTTACATAATTGTATCAAATTCATATTTCTAAGGTCAAACTAATTAAAATTCCATTTCTTCGCGATAAAAAGCGTATCTAATACGCGACAACTGGTTATTATTTTTACATTAATTAACAGCCGCTTTTGTCATGTATCGATTCAATAATTTGTTCTCACAAGATACATTAGTAATTATACTAGTGCATATATCGCAATACATTAACAGTGACAGCTATTACAGCAAGAATCTTGTGTAATAGGTAATTTAAAAATGTATGGCCGGAGCGACAATTAATTTTCATTCAAATGCGAATGAATAATTCGCAAAGTGCGATCCCTACATATGCGTAAGGCGTATTTGTTGCGAATATCCCGTTCTTTTATGAAACTTCGCTCTATTTCTATCGCCGATTACCACCAAACTGTGTAGTAAGTTGATTTTTACCAGTAATTTTCATTCAAATGCGAATGAATAATTCGCAAAGTGCGATTCGTACATATGCTTAAGGCGTATTTGTCGCGACTATCCCGTTCTTTTATGAGACATCGCTCTATTTCTGCCGCCGATTAGCACCAAATTGTGTAGTAAGTTTACTTGATCTCCACCAGTAATCTATCATCACATTTTAATGAGCTTTAACATATTTCTATGAGCATTCTGCCAACAGCATCTAGCCAGATCTTACACCCAATTCGTAATTTTTCTGCCGACAAAATTTAGTAGCAGACATTTTACAGAATGTAGTTTTAATAGATTTCAACTGTCTGGGAGTATTCGAGGAAAGTTGCACTGAAGCGATAGCAGATCGTATCAACCCTTACAGAAAAACAATGAAATAATTACACGAAAATTACTGTACAGCATAATTGAATCATTAGAAATAACTGGTGTACAGTAATTTCAGTGATTATTTCGTTTCCTTTCTGTAAGGGAACATATCGGTGTTGCAAAGCTAGTAAGTTTTAGCTCTCTCTCTCTGGTGCATTGTCGCAAGATTAAAACTGGAAATTCTTATCCAGATAAAATCAAAAGACACTAATCGATATCACATTGTCGCCCCTCCCCGTTTCCTAATACACTTTTCCCGAGAAAACCCATGCTGAAGACTAGGACTTGGTGTAAGTGTGCACGTACGCACGTCCTGATTCTATAAAATTCAGGAATGTTAACGATTCGTTCGCTTTACTTGATTGATTTTCATAATACTCATTATCGGATGATCGTTAGGTGCGCAGTTGGGGGAACTCCGACGGAAGCTTAAATGTCATTACACTTAGCCCATAAACTGATAGCTAGCGGACACGGGTTGCGGTGCCCTCGGTTGCGTATGCGATATGCGTTGGATGTGACACGCACGGCACATAAGTCTGCCATCAAGTGGGTAGCACCGCTTATCCGGCTCGTCGGTCAATTGCATGCCGCAATCCTCGCAAACGTAGCAATCAACGTGGAAGTCTTTGTCCATCGAGACTACCCTGACCGTTTCCTCGGTTCCCTAAAATAGAAAAGAGAACACAGCTCGCAAAGAGAGGTCCGATCAGAGGCGCACGCCAGATACCGTCGTGCGCCTCGATGACGTAAGCGAGTTAATTTCCAGTGCGCATACCTCGACTGGCGTGATTCCCTTGCCGCAAGACGCGCACTTGGGTGCAAACATTCTGTGGTAATCGTTGACACAATAGATCTTATTGTCGACGTCGACCGTGAAGGGCACGCCATCGAGGCATTCGTTGCACACGCAACACCTGAAGCAGCCCGGGTGATACGATTTGCCCATGGCTTGCAATATCTGTGGACAGCAAAAGGCGACGTTACATTGAATTACAACAGGGAGACTTAACGGATGATAATGACCGACTCTCGTCGCTTACCATTTCCATGATAAGGTGGCCGCAAATCGCGCATTTCTCGGCTGTCTGTTGGAAACCGGAATACTACGAACACAATACGATTTCTATGAGCTGGGCGAACGATTGATTGTCATTTCAATGGTCATTTGAATTAAATGGGCGGCATACCAAGTAGTCCTCCTCGCAGTAAACTCTCCCGTGGACATTGTAGAAAGCCTTGCCGCGGAGAGCCCTTCCGCAGGAACAGCATATGAAGCAATTGGTATGATAGAGATTGCCCATTGCTTGACAAGCCTGTCCGGCGCCGGTTACTTTCTCACCGCACGTATGGCAAATACCTATCGAGCCAAGAAATATTAATGCGAAACCTCAACGCTCCGTTTATCGCGAAATTGTAAAGAAGACACAGTTCTTTCGTCGCGACATACTGCACACATTTCAAAATTCCTCCGTGGAGTTACAAATGCTTTACGCGATTTACAAACGTGTTACAAATGTTTCTAAACACGCGCAAACGAATTACTAACAAAACTAGTCTGTACTCGTTAATTTGTATTGAAATTGCTAACTGGCGTGTCGAAATATATAAGTTCCACCTCAGTGGAGAATTGGATTACTTCGCGACGTGAAAAGCCCGAAAAAACACTCGTCGCGCGGAATATACTCGCGCGGAGTTCAAGAGCGCGAAGAATCGAGCTTTACCAAGTCGGGGAGTTAAAAATACACCCATCGACGAGCGTGACAATGCGGCACCGTTCGTCAGGGTCGCACGTTCATCGAAAATCACCCGATCTGTCGCGGATGATTGCAGACGCGAACTCACAGCTCTCGGCGGGCAATAGCGATCCTGCCATCCCACGGCGAAGAGACTTTTTCGAAACTCGCGTGTACACCGGGCCTCAATATTGCAACTTGGTTTCGCTAGACCAGGTCGCACTAGAATCCGACAAACGACCAGTCGGACTGGTCTAGCTATAATGAGATTTGTTACCGACCACGGCGAGGCGGCCACGCGTATAGAACGTTACACGAAGACTACTGGTCGTCTAACTATGAAAGCGACTAGGGAGACATTACGTTCGCCTAAACGCTCGCCACTTCTCGACTGACATTGCTTCGCTCGACCGAGGTTCCTGTCTGCTCGTTTCTCCATTCCTTATTGCGCGAGTTAGGCTGCGTTCACATTTATTTTCTAAATTATCGTTACGTTATAGCACGCCACGCTTCGCCTTTCTTACGCCTGCTCAGTTATCTTCAAGAAATCTAACTATTTTCATCATTTTCAACGCGGCAAATGTTACGGGGTATCGATGATTTTATTACACTGTGGTAGAGATTCTGTTCTGTTAACAATAGATTTGTTTGCTAAGATTCGCGTTACATTAAAAATGGATCATTTAATTTCCGCGGATCCTTTAAATCCTTGATTACTCATTCATTCGTAGTTCATAAAAATGGAGGACTATCCTGTTCTTAACGTCAGAGAAATAGTGTCTCCTTTTTGAAAGCAAGGAATATTAGATTTTTAGAAAAGTGTGTGTTAATGGCAGAATAATGTGGTTTGTTACGCACAAGAACTAGAGAGAGAGATACAAAACAAGTATAGGACACATATGTTTATTTCTGATAAAATAATTAGATGAAAATCAACGTTATTTGAAAGAGAACTCGAGAGGTGGAGAGGAGAGAAGAGGAGGAGACACGTATAGATAATTTAACATAATTTAAACAGAAAGGGAGATGAACAGAGCGAGGAAGGGAAAAATCGAATTGTTTCATTCTGCGTTAGACGTGATTTTGCACATTGCACAATCGTCGAGTATAGGCTGTTGTCGTATTCGACACGGGGAAGCCACAGAAATCGCATATCGATTTGACACGCCTATCGATATTAGTAAGAGCGCTACTTTAACGGAGCGCGACTTTAAAGCGTCGCAAGAATCAAGTGAGTTATCTGTTTATGTATGCACCTATGCGTCGTATACTCGCCCTCGGCCCTTTACGCAAGAGAAAGACGCGAGTGAGTGAAAGAGATACGTGGGTGGAAATTAACGCGGCGCGCGCGAGAGAGTGAATGTCAACGAAGTGTCGCGCTAAAAAAGTATCCGCGACGCACCGAAACTCGACTCCGTTTTCCGAAACCGGTCTACCGCGAACTCGCGCCGTGGGAATTGGCACAGCCTTGGTATCGTGCCTTTTAGCGTTTCAGAGAAATGTCTAAAATTATGGATTTACTCCGGGCGATCGTACCGTGCGAACCTGCGATCATCGTTTCCTCAGTCGTCCACTCCTGTCTTTTATTACAAGTGCGGAATAAAGTAAAACAATAATGAAAGAGGATATAGATAAGGTGAAAAAGTATCGTAAGAAATAGTTCGGGCCGAAGGACGTGCGACTAGGATAGCTCGTTATCGCGCAGAAATATGAAACAGGAAGCGTAATGATAGTCTCAGTTTTCCGGAGCGAGAGAACAAACATTGCGTAAGTAGATTTTTTCTTACCAAAGTATTCTCCCTCTTCCTCCTGCTTTTCCATTTCCTCTTCGAGTTGCCTCGTTAACTCCTCTATCTTTCTTTCCGCTTCCGTTGGTCCCTGAGAGAGGTAATTTGCATGGAGAATGTATTAATCGTTAATGATTGGATATCAAACGTCGTCTAATGCATATCCAATATAAAAATTATTATTTCACGTATAGCTTGGTCGTCGAGAAATTAATATCGTGGAAAGTAGTGGTTCTTATTTAAAGCCTAATTATGCACAGATTATTTAATAGAGTTAAAATATGTACGCATAGATTGCCATTCTTTAAACGTTTAATGCAGCGCTCCATGCAAGTGTTGCGAAACGCTATTGTTTTCGCGCATGCTTTTGATTTCGATAAATGAACAGAGCGATCTATGCAAAAAGACGAAAAACAAAGACAGAAAATGTTTAAGTACAGAAACACAGATGCCTCATGAATAAAATATCATCCGGCGAACGCACGTTGCTTGTCAGCGGCGAACAATTTACCGGTTATGACTCATTGAGTGCGTGAAGAGGGAATTTTTTGGAGATGGAATCATAAGCGGCTTTCCCAAACTTCACGTGCTAAAAATTACGCAGTGTACAGTTAAGCAACAAAGAGGTGGAAAATGCAAACGAAAAAATGTAGCATTTGCAAATCGTTTTTTTAACGCAAGTTAATCTTATCATCATAGGTCAGATGTTACGCAAAAAGTAAATGAAACTATCGGCATTGATGATATCATTGCTGGTGCAATAGATTTCTCATTCGTAACTTTTGAAAAATTATTTTGAACGAATTGCATTGAGCATTGATATTTTAGCTAAATAATTTGCATTGTGTGCGATGAGAATGTAATTTAAGCAGAGTGAGATTTGGTGTTAGGGACGCATTAGCATCTAAAATGCAGAATGTTTTTTATACATTACGATTAAAACAATGCATTGATGGTTTCATTATAATTTTAATAAAATATGCACTAATAGTAACAGGCAAGTACGTGATAAAAGTGCAGGTGACAGAAAAAGACACACTGATAAAAAAAATATTTTAATAAAAAAAAATTACTTTACTCAAGAAAATTATTCATTAGATGGCTCCTAATAGCTTATTAATTTAAATTGAAAAAATAATAAACAAATTGAAACATGCATTTCTTTAATTTAAGTATTTATTAAATATTAAACAGTAGATAATTTGAAATTTAAAAAATTTTACTTTAATTTTAGAAAATGTTTACCAAGATATAAGTTTCACAGCGAAGAAAATTGGATTTCTTATTTAACAAAAACAATTTCATTTAATAAACAATATTCTCTATTTCATGAAATCTTTATTCAAATGTAGAAAATGTAATGATTTAAATTAATTTACTTGATATAATACATAGATTTACTTGAAATTTGATATTTTTATTTAAATAAAATATTTACTTCAGTAAAAAAATTATTTTAAGTGAAAATCTGTTTACTTAGTTTAAAAAGATTTTTTTGTCAGTGCATACATGCATAGAATTGTCGAAATGTGATTTGTCAAGCAGATACAAGATTTTGAAGAGTACACAATTTTCAAACAGCTTTCTTGCAAGCAATAAATTTACCGAAGGTCTAGAAATGACATTGTAGGGTAACAATCCCTTCCCAGGTGTAGGCTTGATCGGCGGGCTAACAGACTTTCTCTCTTCGGCTTCCGGATCGGAAGATCTTTGCAACATAGGTACACCGGCGTTCAAGAGTACTGGCCCTGCAACTCCACTAGTAACGCCAGGAGGGAGGCTAGTAATCCTGGGACCAGCAGTGGCGTCAATTTCATTGACTGTAGTTGAAGCGCTATTAACAGGTGCCTGCACTTGTCCACGTATAGGACTCCCCATAGAATTGGTCGACGAAAGAGACAGTCCATGTCTGGGCGAATGAATGATATTCTGCGAAGCAATATCTAATGGCATCTGACCATGCGTTGGGCTTGTTTTGGGAGATTCTCTCACTGCATTGTTGTTGGCAATAACGGCCCTGGCAGGATCACTTCGACTTGGTGAGTACAGAGACGAACTCCTTGCGGCCGGGAGATCTGATACATCCGACATGTAGCTTCTGTCACTTTGTTGCAATGTGCCTAATCTCAAATGCTCTGTGGAACGATTTGAGGAGTAAACGGGCGAATTTCTCGCGGGAAAATTTTCTTGGTGATGATAGTTTCTGTCACTCTGCGGCAGCGCACGATTTGGAGAGTAACACGGAGGATTGCGACATGCTGTCTGTTCTCCTGAACGAATTCCGTATACTGGAGAATTTCTGGCCTGCGAGTCTCCTGTGAAATTTGCATTTGCGATCCTCGAAGAAGTTTCAACGTATTGCTTGTAATTCTGCGGATTGTCCTGTCGAAACTGGGGAGGAGGTTGATTATTGTCAATCTGATTTGTAGTACGAAATCCTTGCTGTCCACTCATAGCATTTTCCAACGAACCGCGATAATGATGAGGTTCTGGCGGCAAGCGTATCGGAGGGGATTCACTATGGTACGGCAATCCAGTTCTCGGAGATTGCTGTTGCTGCTGATCGGCATTATAATTAAAGTTCCTATTTGGTGGTTGCAATTCCGAGGGGGGCACATAAGCGCTTCTTCCAGACTGATGGTCCGCGGAAGCGGAGGATGAATTCTGTAAGTACTTGGTAGTGGACGAGTCGATTGATCGTTGTAAATTTGAGCCATCGTAACTCTGACCACGTATACTTCCGCTTCTTTGCTGGGTGTATGATAAACTTTGTGTCATTCCACGTTGGTTCTGAGATTGTCCCACTTTTCCAGTCATAACAACGTAATCACCGCCGTTGATGTTCGCCGGATGATAATAATTGGGCGGGACCTGAGGCCCCGGCTTATTCTGCATGCTCTCGGAGAAGTGCACCTCCTGTATGTTCTCGTACACTGGTGGCGCCTCGTATGGCGGCAATTCCTTCGCTGGTGACGCACTTTGATACCGATTGCCAGTTGGCACCTGCGGCTGAGCCTTCCTGTAATTTCCTTCATAGGAATCACCAACTAGAGAACCTCTGGGACTACCTTTGGGACTTTTCCTAGATTCTATCGTGTGGTAATAAGGAGGATGCGGCTGATTCTGTTGCGGATAGTAATCTATATTTTCATAGACAGGAGCCTGTTGACTTGAACGAGTCTGATTCTGTTGTTGCTGCTGCTGTTGCTGCGCACTGATCTGCTCCACTGGCTTCGGCGTGGCAAATCGTGAAGCAGCTATTATGTTTTCACGTTCATATAATTTATACTCAATGGCGGCCGCTTGTCTAGAAATATCCGAAGAATTGCCTTCGATGAAGCTCTCGATAGCGCCAACCGGCCTGCCAGGCGCTTTAGCGTCATTTCTGTTAATTGCACTTCTCGATACAGGCACCTGAGCCTCGGGCCTGGAACCTGAGACCCTGGTCGTACCACCAGCATCCGCGGTATCATCTCGAAGGTGCAAATAGCCTAATTTTTGTACGTAGGAAGTATCTGCCGAATTGCACATTGGCAGTGATTCTCGCTGGAACGATGATAAGATCAGAATGTCGTACGGCCCTTCGCGTGCACTTCAATCGAATTTTCAAAATCGAGGCGCTGCCAACGAATTCGACTCGAGGCGACTCGACATCGTATACGTGGTGTTACAGTATTAAGGTGGCCCGCTTGTCAAAATGATCTCCAACTTGCCCTTTCCTACTCCTTCTCCCCCCCTTCCTCTCTTTTCCTCTTGCGACTCTTCTTACGTGCACGCTCTCGTAATCTTCTCACGGGATAGCACGAAATCCGACGCGAGATATAAGCTGCGCGTGGTCAACCACGAGGCCCCTTTTTCTCCTTCGATTTCGGGCTACGCCCCTCGACCGGGGCGCCTCCGGACTTGCGTTGTCGCTCCACGAGTGCGAACACGCCGACCGGCGCACACCTCGGACTTCTCTCGTTTCGGCACTGAAAAATCACCACCTGCGAAAATTCATGCGATAGCGCATACGCACGCAGCAACGCAAGAACAGGTCAGCATCGTCTCCTGTCAAGACAGGAACCTGCGACAGATGTCGTGGCATTGTATTGCCGTTCTCCTACTGCTGCTTCTTACCATGACGCGGCGCTACAAGTAAATTCTCAGCGATGCCGACCTCATGAATGGGAACCATGATGGTAAACCGTTTCTGGATAGTTCCGACAGAGAGGAGGCCTGAGAGCCGTCAAGCGGGGAGCACACACTTTGGCAAAAGTGCATAACATAAGCATAACGAATTTGATTGGTCTATAAGCAACTGCACAAGGAAATGGACCAATCAAATTCGTTATGCACATGCTTATGCACTTATGCAAAAGTGTGTGCTCCCCGCTTCACGGCCCAGTTTTTTACGTGATCCTCGAACGCGATACGCCCTCTGTGAACATTGAAAACATGGACATGAACTACGTAGCCAATGTCCACGTTTGGGCTAAGCGGATAACGCAGATATACACGTTTTGGTTGTGTTCCATTGTTGATTTTTCGCTATGTGAGCGAACAGACCGAATTTTTCTCAGCGGCTCACTTTTCTTTGCAATAATTGCTTTTACATTTTTCAAAGAATTTTAAAGGACTCAAAGCCGTGACAGGGTTGTAGTGTCTAAATATTCTATTCTAAGTTTATTGCGAAAAAACATCACCTCGGCCAGGGTATTTTTTTGCAATAAACTTAGACTAGAATATTTAGACACTACAACCCTGTCACGGCTCTGAGTCCTTTAAAATTCTTTGAAATTTGTGATTAACACATGCGAGCCATACTAATTTATTTTACATTTTTGTCATAAATTTTTTTTAACATTTAATACGCATACAATAATACATAACTCTTACGTTGTAAAACGTTAATAAAAAATGTTACACAATACTACACACGAAGCTGTGGCTATTGTGTAACATTTTTTATTAATGTACAAATGAAAAATCCAATTGTAAAGGTAAGTCTATCGATCGATAACAAACCAAAATCTATCGATTAAAAGGCTGTGTGAATCCAATTGAATTAAAATTTTATAAAGGCTCGTCTACACGACAAGGCGTAAGGCGCAGCGCAAGAGCGCAGGCACAGGCGCAAGAGGATTGTTCTCGATCGTAGGCCGGCATTCATAGTCCATTCTTATATTTAAGATCATCTTAAGTATACTCTTAAGCCTCCGCTACAATGATTCTCGGTTGCAGGGTTGTAGGAGTAGAAGTAGTAGTAAGTGTTGTACATCAAAATAATATACAATAGAGTGAGATACGTCGTAATTGAAGTGAATGATTGGTTAGCTTTTACGTCCTACATCGTTGTAGTCGTGAAAGATGAAGCTCAGCCATCTTTTACAACAGGCTTTACAATCGGAAATGCTAGTTTAAAACTGTGTTTTACAACACTGTACAACCGATAACAACCACGTTTACGCAATTGTAGAATGGCCTTAATGCGTGGTCTACAATGCGAGTCGCAGAGTCGTAGTCGTAAGAATAATCGACTGCGATTGGTCAATCTCGTCAGATACATAAGAATTGACCAATCGTAGTCGACTATTCTTACGACTACGACTTCTATGTAGACGAGGCTTTACGCCTTGTCGTGTAGACGAGCCTTAACACAGCACACAGTACGCGTACAGAGCGTACGACACTTGCGAGAGAAGCAGCTACGCGACGGCGAGCAGCCAGCACCAAGGCAGATACCCGTGAAAAACAACGGAGCAGGTACGGCGTGTTTTTCATTCTTCGTTCGTTAAATTGTTTCCATGTTTTTGTCCGCGCGCCGCTCGGCAGTTGTTTACGTCGAGCCGCCGCGCCGCCGGTGACCCCCGCGCGCCAAAGTCAGAGAACGTTCCGTGCGTCGCATTGTCGTTCGAACCGCCGATACGAGTGTCACGGGACGGTGTGCGCGATCGTTCTCCGCGTGATTAAACGACGCCACGACTGCCCGATCGAGCTCTTCGATTCCGCACGTACCGCGGGACATCGTCTTCGTCTCTCGCGAGTGTTCATTAACTCGAATACGGGAAGCGGACCGGCGAATCGCCGTCTACCGTTCGCGCTTGCTGTTCCTTCGACGCGTAAATTGAATATAGAGGAGAGCCGCGAGTGTCGATTTCTCGTCAGCATGCGAATTTACGCGTTTATTTGAGCGAACAGTGTCGAAGTGAGAAGTGTTACACGTTTGTCGCGCGTCGTCGACTCAACTCGTGTAGTACGCGTGTGCTACCGCGCAGTGCCGCTGGGAAGCGGCGCCATGTTGGTCCAAGCTTCGCGGGCACGCAGTGAATCGTTCTCCCGCGCCGACGGTCACCACGCATTTCACGAAGGCACGCACGTGACGGCGGTGAGTTTGATCAAGTTAGCAATCGCGTTGATTTGATACTCGTGCGTCGACGATCCATCGAGACGCGTACTTCGCGAGAAGCCGGATCTTCCGCACCGACGCCGTCGCGCCGTCGTATCCACGCGCGACGCGAATACGCCGGGCTTCAATTTCAGCTCGTATCTCCTCGCGCGTGTAGAATTTCACGCGTGACGCGCGGCAAGAGAAACGTTCGTGCGAAATCCCCCGTTCACGCCCGCATTCGGTCTCTTTTCTCGGGAGACGCCAGTCCTTTTCGCCGAAACGTTCGGCGAAATTTGCGCGACGCCATCGATCGCATTTCCGCGATCGCGTCTCTTGCTCTCGTTGCAATAGAGTCCGCGACGAATAACGCCGGGAGTGACGTGACGCGATCGTAAGTTTCTCCTCTTTCGCGAGTGTTGTGTTGTGTCAGTGCGAAGTGGAGGAATCTGAGAGAATGCGACGGCCTAGGAGACATCGGGCGGCTACGGAGTAATCCTTTGGTAAATATAATTGTCTTTACGTTATTCTCGTGTTAACTCCATTTCACAGATTGTTTTATTCTCCTTTTCGTTTACTCGATTCGCCCGTTCGAACGACTCACACGAGTACCGGCCGAAACATTTGTGCGCACGAAATAGAAAAGGAAATTTCTGTCTATTCTACGAAAATTGACGCTCGCGCAAGACTTCTTTCCGGAAATTATATAGTCCTTATTTGTATTCGCGGTGGTTGAAGTGTCCTACGAATAATGGTACTCGCGTGTATTTCGTGTAAAATTATTAGGGTTTTTCTTAATGTTGCGTCATTCAAGTACATTAATTTGGATTTTGCATTTGTGTGTTGCAGGTCGTCGTATCGGTGAGTGAGAAGTTAAGTTTATCTTCTAAATCGAGGTAATGAATCCATGAAGGCTATACAAAATTCTCAGGGAATAAACAAATTAGTCTGAAAACACCTAGGAAAAATATACTGCTTTATCAATATTCTTATTAATAAAATTAACTGTGCACCTCCGCACTGCGCGGTTGTACGCAGATATATGTATATATTAAATATTAAGAACGTACATTACAAACGTATCAAATATCATAGATTCATTACTTTCACTGAGAAAAATATCTTGGCCTATCTAATCGGATAATTCAATTACATAGTGTATTATATTAACAAACTTATATGTATATTCGACTAGATTGCCTGATGAAAATTTAATCGATTTTTTCGATTAAATTTGCATCAGTAAGTGCAATTTTATTATACAAATTTAATCGAATATATCCATAATTTAATCAGAAAACTTAGTCAGAAAAACCGATGGTTAATTTTCCATCTGAGACACTACTTATCGATGTATCCAATGGAAATTTTTCTCAGTATTAAAATGGATGGACTGGAATTAGACAGATATTTAATCCTGGAGATCATGCATTATATTTGTCGATTTATTGCTCGTCTATGGCACGCCGTTTTGTTATTTGATAATACATATTTATCATAAAAACTCTGCATTTATTAATAAAACACGGAAGAGAGGCAGAATTTATCTTCTTATCGCTTAACATATTCTAAGTTCATTTAACAAAAGAATTTAATGAACATTAAGTACATCCATTTTAGTATACGTTTATTTTATTCTACTGTTTCACGGCTCATCCATGTGCATGTTTATTATGTGTTTGTTATGTTCGATTTTATTATTTGCGAAATAACATAATATGAGATTGCGTAAACATCGTGAAACCGAGAAATTTTTTAATGTAAACTTTATATTAATTATTACTCATGGTCGTGCATTTTTCGATACGATCGACACTCGTATATTCGAACCGTACGAAATATTTGTCGGTGACGATAACCGACTATGGAAGAAATTTTCTTCCTTGCTGTTCTCTGGTCAAAATGACCAGATTGTATGGCCAGGAGCAACGAAAGGTATGTCCAATCTGGCCCAACGAGGGAACACTAAATACAACGAGGTTAAGTGGTCAATATTGGCCACTCTGATGGAGTATGATTTCTTTTCATTTGCTACAATTCGGGTGGGTTATACTTCTATATACACATATTTTCGCATATGTGCGAGAGTGAAACCCCTATTAAATCCCGCGAACGCGTTAAACTCCAAGTCAAACCCCTGGTAAATCGCGTCGCGATTAAAGATTTGTAGGTTCATTATATTAAAACACGGGTAGGGGTAGAAAATGGGTAGGTAGGTCTATAGATCGAAATACGGGTAGGTAGAGATTCGGATAGTCAGGGATAGGGGGACGTAATTCGATAGTTTAAAAGATTAGGTAACATAAATTAACGAAGTAACAATAATTACTTTAATGTAATAAGTACGTAAAAAGAATTTCGTATTATTGTACGTATACCGAATATTTCATATAACCAGTGCGACAATGCGACGTGACGATTATCTAATGAGCGCACAGTGTTCCCATAAAGATTACGCCTATTGAATTATCGCGCGTCGCGTTGGTCTGCTAGAGCCATTAAAGCCTCCGCTACAATGATTCTCGGTTCTATCTACAATGGTCGTAGTCGTAAGAATAATCGACTGCGATTGGTGAATTCTTATCGAGCGACTACGACTACGACCATTGTAGACAGAACCGAGAATCATTGTAGCGGAGGCTTAAGGCCTGTGTCCACGACCCAAGAACTATGTCCAAGTTCTACGAGTAGTTCCGAGAAATGCATCAGCCAATCGACCTGCAGCTTTTCCATAAAAGATAGCTGCGCTCGGCAGAAAAAGCTGCTTGGCAACTATTGTAAACTTCGTGGGTTTGATTGGAGTATGCTCTTAAGGCTTGCACCAAGTTCTAGCATCGTGGACACAGGCCTTTAGATTCAGTCAAAATTAAAAACATACGCCAATAGTCGCGTTCA